GGAGCCCAGAGCCCGCTCTGCTGCTTCCGTGAGGCCCCCGCGGCGTCCATCGGCCCCTCTTCCCGCCTCTCCTGTAGAGGGGTGCAGTGAGTTGAGCGCCGAAGGAGACCTGTCGTTTCCAGCGTAGCTGATGGCTGGGAAACCCCGCCTGGGGTTCGTGTTGGGAACGGGCTGTGCCCTCAGCTGGCGCTGCTCTCTGCTGGCGTTGCCAGGAGGGCCCATCCCCCTGGAGCAGCAGCCCTGAGCCCGCTCCTCTGCGGGCTGCAGTGTTTGCGCGAGACTTGGGAAGGTGCTTCCCGGCAGAGCGGGGGTCTCTGGCCTGGCGTGGTGTGGCGTGCCTCCCGCGTGTGCTTTCCCTTCCCCTCTGGTGACACCCAGGTGTGCTGCGCCATGGGGACGCCAGTCCGCCTGGCCGTGCCCCCGCGCTCTCTCCCGAGGCTGAAGGGCTGCTTCTCCCCGCAGGCTGCACGGGCGCAGTGAGGAGAGCGACCAGCAAGAATCCCTGCACAAACTCCTGACTTCCGGAGGACTGAGCGAGGATTTCAGCACCCCTTATCCTCCCCTCAGAGCTAACGTTATTGAAGCTATTAACGAGCTGCTAATAGAGCTAGGTATGATGGGTCTGAACTGCCCCATGGGTGGAGCTTGTTAAGGGATGGGACAGATGCTTCCCCCTCCTCTAGGTGGAAAGAAAACAACAAGGACCTGAGAGACTTAATCTGAAGGAACTGAAGTCCTGCTGCTCCCAGGACTTAAGTTTAAGTCCTCTTTGGCTTTCAGGGAGATGGGTGGAACATTGTGGAGGGAACACCGTGGGGGGTGTGTGCGTGTGTGTGGGGTGTGTGTCCCTGCGCACATACAACCTGGCCCTTGCCAGAAAGCACTGTGACACATTTTTCTTTTCCTGCGGTCTCGTGACAGACCAGGTACCCGTCTCTCCTTCTGAGGCCCGGGTTGCCCTGCCTCTCCTTTCCACATGGTTCTAGTGCTATTGAACTGTAAAGCCATTGAATTTCTGTGACTAGTTGTTATCTGGGCATGGTGGTTAGCTAGAGCAGGGTTGACACAATCCACTCCCTTCATGATGGAGTTTTCAATACAGCTATTTCTACAAGTAGCTAGGGAGCACAGGGCATTCAACGGCCAGCTTCTTGGTCCCTCTCCACTGGTAAAAAGAACGGGGAGGAAAGCTGCTCTAACCAGTGCTCATAGCATCGCTTTAGTAAAAAATGATCTTGTTGGAGGACAGCTCTAGCGGCACAAGTATTACATTTCCTGGCTGCTTTTCCACCCATGGCTTCCTTCTGTTCCAGAGGGCACCACCGATAACATTGCTATGCAGGCGCTGGAGCACATCCACTCCAATGAGGTGATCATGACCGTTGGCTACTCGCGCACCGTTGAGGCCTTCCTGAAGGAAGCTGCCCGCAAGCGCAAGTTCCAGGTCATCGTGGCGGAGTGTGCGCCGTTCTGCCAGGTGAGGCCCGGGCTGGCTGTCTTCTCCAGACGCCACATTGTCCCACGCGTTCTTACTCAACTCTTGTCTCTGGAGGCAAGCTGAACATACGGAAGTTCCTCTGTGGTGGAGAGTCTGAAGACAGCTCGTTATCCTGCCCCGTGTCCTTCAGTCAGAGGGCTGTTATTTGTGCTCCATTGCTTGGTATTTTTGTGGTTCAGACAAGAACTGAGTGCCAATATCTCTACAACTGCAGCGCAGGAGCTATGTCCCAGGGGACCAATTGGATTCTCCCTCTTTTTAGGGTCATGAAATGGCTGTCCGACTGTCTAAAGAGAACATTGAAACTACTGTCATGAGTGATGCAGCCATTTTTGCTGTCATGTCTCGGGTCAACAAGGTAAGTAGGGCTCTGCCGGAGGGGGGAGTTCATAGGCAGGTTTTGGGGCTTAGGCCTCCCAAACCAGTGGCAGGTCCCAGCAGTGATGGGTGCGTTTCTTCACTGAAGACTCAAAACTGTAATAGTCCCTGTTTACAGCTGGGGTGGAGATTCAGTGTGGAACCCCAAGTCAGTACCATGACTAACTGCATGGTGATAGATTTTTCCGCCCCAGTGGCTAACAGGCAGAACAGTTACTAGAAACCAAGACAGCAAAGCCTCAGAGGATTAACTTGACGTTTTTTAAAGAAGATGGAACAAACCCCAGCATTTCCAAAAGGGGAGAAACTCCGCTTATGTGGAACACGGGTGGTGAAGGGAATCACCAAGGTGCGTCTTTTCGAACAGACCTGTTCTGTACTTTTATAGAGATGAAGATCTGGCACCACAAGCTAAAAAAAAAAAAAAGGTATTTTTAACATAATAAAATGCAGCCACACCACTTCTTATCTACCTGCTTTACATTATTCCCGTTTTACAGGAGGCGAATTGTTGCAGCCAGCAGTCAAGTTACTTGTACAAAGCTTACTTTGCATGCTAGTAGAACAACAGAGAAGACAGCCCAGTTTCTGCTTGGTGTTCCCTGCAGTAGAACATACATTTGTCCTCTGAAGTTCTCTGTGCTGGCCTCACCATGCTGGAGTCATGCTCTTGTTAGGGAGAAACGTCTCAGTGCAGAGCCAGTGCCAGATGAAACAGATCAGGCATCCAGCTGCCCTGTAACTCCGGCCTTTGGCTGGCTGGCTGTTCTGACAAACTCCTCCCCCAGCTCATCCGGCAGGGTCTGAGCCAGGCAGCGTTCCTTCCCCAGTTTTCCGTGGAACATGCTATCTAATGCTGATTTGCCTTTTAAGGTCATCATTGGTACAAAGACAATCCTGGCCAACGGTGCCCTGATTGCTGTGAGTGGGACTCACACTCTGGCACTGGCAGCTAAACACCACTCCACTCCGCTCATCGTCTGTGCCCCCATGTTCAAGCTTTCACCACAGGTAAGCACAGCAGCTCTTCAGGGCTAGAGGTGGGGGGGTGATTTTGTGCTTGTGGAAGCTTAGGGTGGAGACCACCACCTGTCCCAAGGTGAGGTTGGTAAATGAGCCATCTTCCCGCTCTGGCGTTGTTATTTCAGATAGGAGATCCTCACCCAAATCTGGCACACCTCAGGGTCTCCTTGAAGCACGCTCCTCTGCCACATGTGCTGAGTAAGCAGCACATTGGGTATTAGGCTGTAGACCACTGCCTACTAGAGACTGACATCACCGTATGTCTTTTTCTTCGACCACAGCAGACTTCATTTTGTACATTTAGTGTTGAAAGACCCTCTGTACTGACAGAGGAGGTAGACGGAGATGCTCTAAACTGTTTCTTGCACTCAATACTTCTTCAGTATTGTCAGATGAAGTTGCAGACTGAGGGAGTCACTTCTCTGCTCCAGTTCTCTAGGCTTTGCAGAACGGCAGAGAGGTCTCAGAAGGCTGTAAAAGCTCTAACGAAAAACCTTTCACCTGTAGATGTTACAGAGGTTCTACGCACAAGCACTATTAAACAGATGTAGTGTCACCTGGCAAGTCTTCTTCCTCTGCATTAGTTCCTTCCAGCACCCAGGATCTGTTTTCACTAGGATAATGAGGCCGTCTCCTTTTTTCCTGACCTTCCTGTACTCTCTCATTCAGTTCCCTAATGAAGAAGATTCATTCCACAAGTTTGTGTCACCACAGGAAGTGCTGCCATTCACAGAAGGTACTGGTTCTTCTTTATACAGGCTGGTCAAGCTGGATCAGGCTATAATTTTTAGATTTTTTTTTTAAATAGCTCACACAAAACTTAAACATAAGACCGTTCTGAAACCCAAGACAGAAATACTTTCGTATTTTCTTAAGCAGAAAAAAATGCTGGGAACCATTATATTTTATACATAACTTTCTATTACAGAAAGTACAGAAAAAGGATTTCCTTTGAACAGTGTCTTTGCACTTTTGCTTCTGCTCTGAAATAGTCAGTGTTTTATTGTAGGAGTGTGATAATGGTGCCAGGCAGGTGGCATTTTCCTGTGGGACGGAGCAGATGCCCAACACTGAGGGCAGCTTCCTTTCCTTCCTGCGACTCATTTTAACTTCTTGAAACTTCGTTATGTGATCTGCTTGCTGAAACCCATTATCTCTGCAATGAGCTTCCCACACAAGCACTGTCTTTGGAAAGGCATCCGCTCCCAAGCCCATTTTCAGATAGCAGTCTGTTTTAAAGCCCCGTGTCTATGTGACGAAGACTTTTGAAATGAAGATACCTGGTTTGGCACAGGTTTTTGATTTTTGCCTTCTGAGCTTTTCTTTAACTAGTAACTTTGGCAGCATCAGGATTCTTGTATTCTAATTACATACTGGCAGGTTTTTTGGCAGTTGGGTTAGTCTACATCAGAGGATCCCATCTACAGAGGGGATCTTGGGTTTTTATCAATCAGTAAAAACTACCAAAAAAGAGTGCTGCCATTCATCCAGGATTGCTGTATACCTGTAATTCCATGACATCAGTGAGGAAGTTGGAAAGTATTCAGGATGTTTCAGTACTGACTTCAGGGTGGCATGCGCATAGCCAGTTTCTTCAGGGGCTCAGGAGGTTGTGCAGAAGGTTAAATGTATGAGTTTGTCTAATATTGCTGCTATTCACTTTACAGGGGAGATCCTGGCAAAGATCAATGTTCATTGCCCAGTGTTTGACTATGTCCCTCCAGAGCTCATTACTCTCTTCATTTCTAACATTGGGGGTAATGCACCTTCCTACATCTACCGCCTCATGAGCGAGCTCTACCATCCGGATGACTATGAACTCTAATGCCATGAAGCACGCCACTCTCCAGACTTTTCGTATCTTTCTCTTCAGAAAGATACAACAGCTAATTAAAGTGTACATTGCAAAAATGTCGTTGCTGTGGGGAATTTGCTCAGCAATATCTTTCCTGCCCAAAAGCCACAGAAGGCACAGCTCTTGTACAGGTATTGATGTCTGTGCTGTGTTAGAAGCCACATGGAGCTGCTAACCCACTTTGATTTTGAAACAGCAAGGCATGCATGTAACTCTCTGGGGCAGTTAAGCTGTTACTGGAAAGTTCTTGATTTTTATGAGGGGCAGCGTGGATCACCACAGAAATCTCAGACTCTTGCAGGTCAATCAGATTGCTTGTCCCGAGTCCCTTTTATCAATGTGTGGCAATACACTACATCACAGTTAAGGCATGAAATGAGAGTAATTTCCACTCCTTGTTTTCATTTTGATTCAGTAGATGTCAATATCTTCTGATTTGGTTTTAAGTTGGATGTCTGTGATTAAACAAAGACATCATCTTCTTTTACCATTCTGAAATAAACTCTACTCCTCTACCTTAGACTGAGACACAAAATAGAACTGGAACCTGTCAAAAAAAAAACCCAACAAACTGCCTGTTTTAAAAAATGCTGTGGGCTATTTAGTTGTTTCTGTGGGGTTAAGTTTCTGTACCCTGAGAATTTGGGGCTAGGATTTAGAAATCTCTCACTCAAGAATGCAAACTGCAGGGAGCTGGAGGAAACAGCTGGGTGTGTCATTCATTGCCTAGTTAAATAAAAAGAATGTTTTGATCTTAAGTTGGCCTATATATACACTATGAAGCTAGTTGGTTCTCATTCCAACCACTGCCATGAGCCCAAAACATGAGTTTAGTGTTTTATTAATAAATACCTCCCCATTTTCAAAGCACTATAAAATACATTAATTAAAGTCTCCTCCCTATTATGCAGAATCATGCTGTGCATGTGCAGAGAAAAAGCACTTTAGTAACTGTGAGTGGCACAGGTTTACAATGTAATGCCTTAATGTTGAAGATGCTTCTCCAGGCTACAAGGGTGTGTTCCTCCTGCCATGTTCTCCTGGCTGGTCTCTGCTTCTTAGGTCAGTACTCGGAGCAGAACTTCAGTTACCGCGCTGGCTCAGAAACTTGGCTCCACACAGGGTATTGCTGTCTGACAATAGGTGGACCTGCATCACAGCAACACTTCTAGTGGCTGCAGCGTACAATCTTGCTTTTTTCTGATTAGGGTCTTTTTTTTCCAAATAGCTGCCATGCTCGCACCATCTTCCGCAGTCTAGCCAAATTAGGTTTAGCCTGGAAGGAGAAAAATTAAGAAGCACTAAATCATAACTAAGTAAATTAACTTCAATGCCTCTATATTCTTTGTCCTAATACAGTCATTCCCAAGTTTTTTTAATATGCAATTCAAAGTCCCACGTGACTTTTAACAGAATCCAATTTCATAACTTGATATAATACAGCAAAAGGGAAGGAGTAATGCTTTTTTTTTTTTAATTTACATGTTCCTATTTCTTTCTTTTCTTTTTTTCTTTCTTTTTCCCCCCATTTTATAGCATCTTAAACTTTGAGGAATCAGGTATTTGTTGAAGTAGCATCTTTGCCACTAGTATAATATCAGAATTTACATGTTTTCCAAGTTTTACACTTAAAAACTGCAAACAGTTTAAACATATGCTTAACTTGAAGGGCTAGTGGATCCCATTCAAGTCAATGTGACCACTCAAATGAAATATGTTAAGACCGTTGCTAAACTGTTTGCAGGACAGAGGTTTAATGTTCTAAAGTTTTATTGTATTGGTAACAGCTATGTAAAATTCAGGTAAGATACAGCCAGTGACCATGGTTTAAAACTGGTCCATTCTAGTTATAACATACACATATGTGACATGCCTTTGATAACCCAGAGTGTGAATTATCAGAGGCGCATCTGTGTCCCACACAGTACCTGCTTTTCCTGCTGTAGATGGTCTATGTCTGCAAGAGGCATCATGGAAGGTCTTCCATGAGCACACTGGAAGGGCAGCTGGCAAGATGACAAAGCTTCAATAAGCCTGCAGCTCTCCTCCAAAGTCAAATGCTCATTAAACTTAATGGCTCCTGAAAAAAAAAGGTACAAATTCTTAAAACACACTGCAAAAGATTATTCAAACCACCCAGCAGACTTTCCTCCACAACTGTGGTTTTCACGGGCAACAGGGCAGCTCCCAAAGATGAGCTGGGAGGCTGCAAAGGCAGCCCAAAGGCTGCAGTATGGCAGACTTAGCACTTAGCTCAATTGATCAGCTTGCTGCATACGCATCAGCTTTCCATGACCTAAATTTTCACTTCGCCCAAGTCTGATGGATGGTAAGATTATTAGTTTTTGGCTTTTCAGATGATGTTCCAAGAGGCAAATGGGCCTTTTTTTTTTTTTTAAATACATGTGTGTGTGATGGCTGAAGATGCAACCAGTTCACAAATGAAGAAGTATTAAACCAAGATGATGGCTAATATCAGTTCCATAGCCTATATCAGTTTTATGTGCCTGCCACTGACAGGCATCAGTGCCAACCCTGCCACTAAGTCCGTTCTCACAAATGAACACTTACTGGCATCCAGAGGAAATCCAAGCAGAACATTAAGGGGTCATTTCAGAGGTGTTTGCAATCTTTAGCCTTCACAGATGCACAAGACCATCTGCAGGCTACCTTTCAGCCATGAGACTTTTTCAGGTACAAAAAAAATTATATATTGTCTGCCATTTGTAGACTGCAGTGATACTCATTGAAAACAGCTGCTTTTAGTTCACGTTTACCCTTTCAGCATTATCTTGTTAATACTGTATACGGCACAGGAACTGCCACAAGAGGCTAGAGCTACTGCAGTCTACACCTGTAAGGTCTGCTCATTCCCAGGTGCTGGAAACCCATAGTCCCTTAACAGACGCAAATCCTTACTGCACTTCTTCCAAAAATACTTGAAAGGTCACAGGCACACTTAAACTAGCACTTTTGATACTTATATGAAATAAAAAATGCTTTTTGGGAAGAGTGTCTAAGTCTTCTCTCCTGCTGGCTTTGAAGCAGATTCCAGCACCTCCTCTTGCCCCTTCACAGAGCTGTTATCTGAATGGTTTAGAGCTCACGCAGATGACTGCATCTCAGAACTGTGTTCTTTGTTTCATGTGAGGGTTGGAAAGTACATTAGGCCCATACATGAATAAATCAGAGCAGTATTGCTTGTCCCTCACAGTGCTGTCCACGAAAAGGCCATTATCTCATCATCCCGGTGAAACACACGGGCTGTAATCCTGGAATTCCTGCAAACACATTCTGAAACCACTGTCCCAGGGAGGATGTTGGGTAGAGACAGGTTAAAAAAAAAAAAATGAAAGAATGAAAGAAAAGTACAGTTTCCCTACCATGACAGGCCTGGGAAGCTAACACCTTCAGAAACGTCAGAGGCAGTGTCCCTCGTGCTCCTCCTCCTGTGGTCTGCACTAGCTAAAAGTAGTAAGGGAATATCATCTTACTTTCCATTTAATATGAGAAAAAGGAAGAACTGGAACACAAAGGAAACTAAAAATGAGGAAAAGCTAGTGGATTATCTAGTCCCACTCCCTTTGGTTCACGCAACAAGCTTGGAATTATTATACTCAACGTCAGAAGCGGGCAACTCACCTCAACTTGTTCTTGAATAAGCTCCTGGAAAGAAAAAGGAAATATCATCAGTTGCCATTTCTCCCTTTCATTGCCCATACCCTGCTTTGTCCACATCTGTGTATAATTTACTGTGTTATCTTTGAATAGCTACCCCTTCTTCTTTGGATAATAGTAATTTCTCATGTCTAAAATGCGATGAATTGAAAATCAATCATGCATAGGTGCTACCACTCCTAAGTAAAATAAAAAGGACTGCAGAACAGATCTGCCAAAATGCTCAAGAGATCTTGAGGCGTCAGCTAAGAATGAGCGCTCCTGAGGCACAGGCACAGGCCTGATCCCCTCCTCAGCCACTGTTAGTGTTTTTACCTCCCATATCACACCAGGAGAGTGCATTTTGAGCTCTTCCCGATTATAGCAAGGTTGGAAAAGAAAATTTAATCAGATGAATCATCCTCTCTGTTTCTTCTTTTCATATCAAAAGACATGTATGGCAAGACTGGACTGATTCACAATGGCTCAGCTTAGTGGCTGAACAGGGTACTCCAGAAACAATTTTTAAGGACTCCTTGAAGCAGTTAATGATTGTGGAGAATTGTTTACAATGGGAACTGCAAGTAATCAGTTCACCAATTTCTTTCTCAAACTGCAGAGCATCTGGAACAGCAGCTTTTAGAAAGCTGCACTGCCCATGTAGAGATTTGATGAAAACGACTTTAAATCCTAACAAATAACACTTCTGTATCAGCAATATTAATTTTACTGCTCATTCACGCATTCACTGTTCATTCAAGCATTCGTGAGCAGTAAACTGTTGAAACATCTGCACTATATGCTGTTTTTCTTATCTTCTCCACTAGTCCAAGTCTGAAACAGTCTCCTGTTGTTTCTGTTACAGTTCAGGGATTTCAGCTGTGGGACTATTTAGCCACTAAAAGGGATGGTACCCACATTTGCCAAGGGATTTCATTGTCTCCCTCATAACAGAGATACTCTTAATACCCTGGCCCATTAACAGAGAACAAGACCCAGTATCACAATTTCACCCATGTCCACAGCTGACCTCCACAATGCTTTTAGTAACAGGTTGTCTTTTCCGTCGTAATTCATTGGCTTCTCTTTCTATAAAACACAGTGGCACTTTCCTAACCAGAATCAAGGAGTTGTTGGTCTCAGGAAATGACAATTCAAGACCCAAGTCCTCCAAATTTTTATAGCAGCATCTGAAGAGAAAAAAATACCAGAAATAAGACATCAACCATCGTAGCTATGTCTCCATAGCATACATAAATATTTTGGTAGTCCCCAAATATGTTTCTTCCTGCAACAGTTTCCAATCTCAAAATCCATGCATCATGAGATTCCAAGTAGTTTTCCCTTTTCAGCCTACATTCAGCCAGGTTTTTTCACTGCACGCAACTGTGCATATTTCACTTCCCACAAACACAAGATCTAAGAGTTCCTGTATTATGTAGAGAGAAGCTTTATGTCTAAATTTATAAATCTATCTTTTCTAAAGATGCACGAGGTGTCTGGTTCAACACACAAACACTCCAAATATTGCAATTATACAGCATAAACACTCCTTTAAGTCTAACCCAAAAAATTGTGATTTCAATTGACACATAATAGCAAATACTTACAATGGAAAAAAATATTGTAAGAAATTTATGCTGGTTTAATTAACTTTATATCCCATTAAGCAAAGAGAACTGAGGAAAGAACAACCTCTAGTTATTCTGACATATGTCACCCTGTGGATGGGAAAATACACACAAAACCAGGGCTTCACAGTCAGATGAGAACTTGTCTTTAAAACAAAAACAACTGTAAGAACTGTAACAGCACTGGGTGTGCTGGTGGACGATAAGTTAACCACAAGCCAGCAGTGTGCCCTTGTTGCCAAGAAGGCCAATGGCATCCTGGAGTGGTGGAGGGCTACGAGGATGATGAGGGGACTGGAGCATCTCTCCTACGAGGAGAGGCTGAGGGAGCTGGGCTTGTTTAGCCTGAAGAAGAGAAGGCTGAGAGGGGACCTATAAATGCCTACAAATATCTTAAGGGTGGGTGTCAGGAGGACGGGACCAGACTCTTTTCAGTGGTGCCCAGCAAAGGACAAGGGGCAATGGGCACAAATTGAGGCAGAGGAAGTTCCAGCTGAACATGAGGAAGAACTTCTTCACTTGAGGATGATGGAGCCCTGGAACAGGTTGCCCAGGGAGGTTGTGAATTCTCCTTCTCTGGAGATATTCAAGACCCGTCTGGACAAGGTCCTGTGCAGCCTGCTGTAGGTGACCCTGCTTCGGCAGGGGGGTTGGACAAGATGATCCCCAGAGGTCCCTTCCTATCCCTACCATCCTGTGATTCTGTGACATAGTTTATTTTTTCAACTTAGGGAATATTGACTTAAAACAAAGATGGTGAAGGTCAAATTTAGAAACGAGATTCTTTGAACAAAGAAGCAGCTAATCTAAACTTGCTAAAATCAGTCACGAGAATAATACAATTATTAGCCTCCATATGGAGATAACTTGTGTAATTCTACCCCAAAAAAAGAAGACATGTATAGCCTTCAGCAAGAGCAGAAAAAGACAGAAAAAGCCCATTGTGGTGAAATGACAGAATCCAAGCAGCTATTGAGGTCAGTCAGGTTCTTTTTTTTTTTTGAGAGGAAAAAAAAAAAAGGAAGTTCAAGAGAGTCACCAGAACAATGCATTACTACAATGCTTAGTAGACAAATAACACAATCAAAGCTGCAGGTGAACCAGACGTCCAGCTGAACTATTAAATAGCATGCATAGCTGAAGAGAAAGGTCTTTTAGGGAAGTTAATTGATTTTATTGCATCAAACTTTACCACAGAATACAGTCATACTCTGCCAGCAACAATAACAACAGAATTCAGATTTTTACACAGTACTTTTAATTTGTAGCTTTTTAGTAAGGATAGTCTCACAGAGTGACTGTAAAGACATGAACTGCCAGTAAATACTGATAAATTAAACAGCACTACAATAAAAGCACCAGTAAGCCAGCATCAGTATATGCCAGCACCAGTAAACTTGAATCAATTATCTTAAGTGATAACTGAAAATCACAACTGGCATCCCACTGTGCTGAATTATTTAACCAGTGGCCTTAAAAGAAAACCATGCCTCTCTGATTTACTTCATCTTACTGATTTTTGTAGTATGCTTGTGATATAGCTGATGAAGAAAAGTAGCTCACAGAATTTATTTGGTCTTTCAAAACGACTTCAATGCTGTCTGTTAGGAGTGGCTAGAAATGCAAATGTAAAAAGTGGATAGAGAAGTAACATTTGTCATGACTTAGAAACTATGGAAAAATGTATGTTGGCAGAGTTTGTCAATGTTCAACTTGACATGAGTCATGACCTGTATCTTCACAATTGTTCATTAATGGTATGGAAAAGAAGGGGCATGGTCAAGCAGGCAAATTTGTAGAAAACACAAAATTATTTACGTTAGCTGAGATTAAAGACGATGTTGAATTCAATCAGAACTTCAGTTAAAAAATTATGAATGAAATCAGTAGGATGAATGAAAAAGGTATAATGAAAAATGGAACGAAAAACTGAATTCACTGCTCCTAAAGACAAATAAATGCAAATTATCAGGAATAATTTGATCTATTTGTACCTTTTGTTGGCATCTACATAAATAGCAAAAATTAAAAAAACCCCCCACAACTCTGTTTCATTGCCACAGCCATTCAATAAAGAAGCAGTTATGCAACCAGCAGTAGACAAAAAAGCAGAGGTGTGGATATAATAGACAGAAAATATGGGCACAACTGCAAAGCTACTGTACAAATTGATGGGATACCCTCACTTGGTGTATTGTATTCAATTTTGGCCATCCAGTCTCAAAAGTAGATACATCAGAAATGGAAGACATTCAAAGATGAGTGCAAAAATAATTCAAAGTTAAACAAGAGGCATTACAAATATTAATGATGTTCTTGCTAACATCACAAGAGGTGGGAACAACAAAGGCATCCGAATATTTCTGAACTATTAACAGCAATGGTTACGTTCTCACATTTTTCCCTAAGGCAGGTGGAACATAATAGTGCTCTACACTTTCCTGTGGAATTTCTGGTATTGGCCATTGTTACACAAAAGAGTTACCAAATGGATACAGCAGTGATACTGTTATGACTGGAATACGCCCAAAAAGGGCTTTACACCAAACAAGTATATCACTGTAATAGGCAACAGTCTTCACACAGAGTGATTTAAAAGCTGTCAAGTTTGCCACAGGCATCACAAAAAAGAGCAGTTTGAGAATAATGAGGTAGTCCTGTGAACGTTAAGATAGAACTTCACCTGAAAATGAAGAACAATGCAGGGAAAAAAACCCACAGATGTATGTGGCAGGTGACAGACAGGGATTTGGGAGGAAAAATGTTTGATTAGTGTCCAATGGGTCTGCAATAGCCCAGCAACAAGTCCGTATCTAAACTCTTGGAGTACAAAAGTTAAATATCCTAATAGTAGCTACACCACCATTCTGAAACACTTGGGAAACAGCGTTCTTTAGTTCCTCTTGGCAGGCACCTAGGATTAAGGAATGCGTTTTTGAAGGATTCGCAAGACAAACTTTCCATACCCCATCCTGCTCTTCTCAAACAGTGCCTGTTCAAGCATCGACACTACGGGCACTGCATTCTGTTGGGCACTCCCACGTCCTGAGCCCCAGGCAGTAGGATCTGCAGGAGACTGCTTTGGCACTCTCCTGGCCTACACGTGAAGGTTGACTTTCCCAGGGAAACTGAGCACGTTGCAGAGGCACAGAGATGGCACACCACAGGTTTTGTCTTGAGATGTTGTAACGACGTGCCTGAGAAGCACACCTGTTTTCCTCAGCATGGATATACCTGATTGGTCTCAGCTCAGGAAAGAATCAGCAGCTTCTTTCCTGAGCTTCATGGTAACCCAGCAATATATAGAGAACTTCCTGGTCAAAAGAGCCGTCCCCAAAAGTTTAGAGCTATTGGCCATTACTAACCGTAGAAATCGTCTTTGTTCTTCTGTAACTTCAATCTCCAAAGGGGGAGAGATGGAGGAGGACAGTAATTTCTTCTTGCCACATGCTGCAGCTTCCTTCTCATAGGAATCTGTGAATGAATCATTTAGAAGTATCCTCTCTTAGAATATTTACGCAGGCATTACCCGTGATGACCCTATGGTTTGGCATGTAATCCTCTGTTTGGATTAAAAAGTGACCACAGAATGCCTTCTCCTGAAACTTGTGGAGGACTGGGAATGTCACAAACCAGACATCTGGTCTCTGGGGAAGGGTTGGTTAATGCCACTTTGTTTTTTCCCATCAGTTCCAAAAAAGAGTCACCCTAAATAGCAAAAAAACCCACTGATATATTTAGTCCAACTCACAGAGAGCAATTTTTCCACAGAAAAGTCTGATATAAATGGCATTAAATTACTATTCACTAAGCATTTCTCCCTTCAGTCTTTAACTTTTTTTCAGTACCTGACCAAAAGGAGCAGAGTTCCTGGAACCCTCTCTGCAGGAACTGCGCAGTGTTTGTTGATGAAAGAGAAGGTCAATGATTTTTAAGTACTTGACGGATGGCTATTGTGCTTTTTAACATTGAAACCAATGGCTAATGAGCTTACAGAGAAGACTATTATTCCTTTGCAAACAGTTTCAGATTGTGGAAATTTTAGGTTTTAAGCACAGTATTCAGCTAAAAAAGAACCAAATGAACTATGCTCTTTACTCTGCATCCCATGCCTTATTCTTCACAGCATAACCATATAATCTTATTGATGTTGTTCTATTTCCTCTTCATTGTTTTTCCTATCAGTCTTCCTGCTCTTTCATTATGTCAGGAGTATTTTAGTTTGATAGTTCTGTGGGTAGGCAGTGTATCTTCTATTTTTGGAAGCACTGTCATGATTTTCAGCTGCCAATGCTATGACTGCTACAGATACTGAATGTCTGCACTCTCCTAGAGATCAGGATGGAGGTGACAAATGAATATCCTATTTGATCCATACATCTCAGATTTATCCTTACGACAAGTTAGTTAGCAAGCTTCCCCTTTCAGATAGCTCATTTGTACTTTTCTGTGCACTGATTATCTTTCTTCCTAAGACCATATGAATCCTCACCTGCAATAAGCTGCTCCAGGCGGATCCGTTCATGAGCTGCATGTTGGTCTACCAAAATCAAGAGGTTTCCATCTAAAAATGTACCACAAGAGATGAGAAATAGGCAACTTTGTACCAGGCAACTGCACAGGTTGGGAAGAATGACCACTCTCTAGAGGCCACATTTAGAAGATAACTATCTGCCAGTTTTACAAAAATAAAGTGAGGAGGTGGCTGTGTTGGCAGAACATAAAGTCACTACAGAACAGAAATTTAGTGATCCAAATTGGCATTTAAATTAATGTAATTAGACTGAGTCAGAAACTCTTGCCTATTGACATCTTCATCCAACTTCAGAATGAGAGCTGAGGTCACCCACGAACTGTTCTGTTTAATACAGTCTTTAAAAATGTTATGAAAACTGCTGGTTTTGAATGCCTTTTTTGTACAGCTTCAGCAACTTCAACAATGAATATGTCCAGACACTTTGAACAGAGTCTGAAAGATGTTAGTAATTTGAGCACAATCTATTTTTATAACACTAATCTGAAGGTGGTAGGAACATTCAACAACGTCCAAAATAAAGATAAAGAAGATCCAGGGAATTTCAAGTGAAGACTAACATTTTCCTCTACGCACAGCATCATCCCAAGGCAAGAAGAGAATACAAACAGGACAGTGTTCCCTCTGCATTCTAACTGCACTTCAAAGCCACGTCAACTTCATGTTAATAACCACTCTTACCTTCCTTTTTATCCATTTCATTCCTAGTGTTGATTAAACAAGCGATAAATTTATTGTCCACTTGCTGAAGAACCTGTAAGACACTCAGAAAAATCATTACCCAGTGGTAAAATTATTTAAAAATGAAGGTAAACAAAAGAAGACCACAATCAAAATGTATCAAGTGCAACAAATAGCTAGTAGGATGATCAGGAGATACGAAACCACATCTTTTCTAACCCCAAAGGCTTAAAGAATTTGGCCTAGCAAAACTGAGACTGAGAAGGGATATAATTATACTTATAAATACAGTGGGGGGCTAAATATGGAAAAGGCAGCAATTATTTAAGCTAAAAGACAATACTGGCAGAAGATCACAGCACCATAAATTGGTCATGAAACAATTTAGCCTGGAACTAAGAGAAAGTTTCAAAATATCCAAGAAAATAATTCTGTATCAATTTTTTGTCACAAGGGCAAGAGCTCTAATTGTTCTAAGGTGGAGCTGGAAATTTACAGAATGGATTTAATGCTTGTAAATGCTCATGTAGAAGCCTCCCTGAGTTGGAAATTAAAGCTGTGCACACTGACTCTGAGTATTTGATTTGCTGATATCACCAAAAGAGAATGTAAACAACATTTTTTAACCTGCCCTGTGTTTAAGGACTTGTGCTGATCATCTGTAGGAGCCATGAAGCATTTTTCCCCCCCTCATTTTCTGATGTAGAATTTGCCTCTGTTACTTGATTCCACCTTCCCCTCAAGAACCAGAAATCAAACAGAGCTACAGGGAATACTGAGCAGGGATGCACAATGTTTTCAGTATCCAATTGTTAGATTTAAATTAACAGATGTGGTGTTAGAGAGGAATTTCTACCCAAGTCACATAGCTAGAGCTCAGTCTGAATTCTTGACCTCACAACATGTGCATTGTTCACCTCACAGGTAAAAATGAACAGATGATCCTGTTTCTTTGCAGGGATGCAAGACATTAATGATTCTTTTTATTATTTTCCTGTGACATGATGCAACATTTTGTGTTTTTGGTCTTTTCTACAGAGATTCTCAAAATTGCTATAGGGTACTGAAGGCAGTATTTAGCTTCTTCAGAGATGGGAAGCAGTAATTTCTTCTAGCTTTACCTTCTTAAAAACATACAAAGGAAAATATTATGCAGGCAAATGTAATCACAGAACCACTCAGTAAGTTTTAAAGAACAGTTCTTACTACAAGGAGTGAACAGAAAAATGGTACCTTCCATTTTCCAGCTCTCCTCTCCTGTCTTTTTGAAACATGATCTGTTCACCGTAATAACTTTATTTACTCCTGTTATTCTTGCACACACAACATAAGGGAATCATTTGGATTCTTGTCCACTGTAGAGATCAACATTACCACACCCCACACAGTCAGAACCTGCTATCTCAAAGTCAGCAACCCGACTGCATGAGAATAATGCTAACCGGGTCTGTAAGCCTTTTGTCACTGGGATGCAAGAGAGGGAGAGAATCCACTTTGGCATTTCTATCCAGGCAAACCATCAAAGAATGTAAGTTGAAGCCATATATTTACATTAGGTTTTAAGCTAACATTCAAAACATTTGATAAAGAAGCACTAAAACAGTTAAACTTAATGCTGTGATGCCGTTTTTAAGAATCGCTTTTCAGAGCAGACATAAATCTTGAAGTGAAAGTTCACGTCTTTCCAGGAAATCTGGGATTTGCTTTTGAAACCACTCTGCTGAAGAATTAAATTTCTAAGGTCAATAAATACAGAAGATACATGGAACAGATTTCAGAGGAATAAGAACTAAGCAAATGCCTACAATAGATATAAAAAACTGCCCATTGAAATAGCATTTCGTTAACAGTGTTTCTAAGCAGCAGTAAAAGGGCTGCCTCTTGATTTGATTTAACCACACAGTCAAGCAATTTTAGAGTCACTTGCAGATAGCTGGTTAACCATGAAATGATACTAAGATCTGGCACGACATACATTCTGTCAGTATCACACAGCAACCAAGAATTCCATTTGTGCTTGTGAAAATTAGGGATATGAACTATTTCCCTGGGTACCTCTTTCCCACCAGGCAGAAACATCAGCAAATCCCATCAGCTGAGTGGAAGTTTGGGGGTGAAAACTAGTAATAGACCATACTGTACCTGCATTGAATGAACCATGTCTTTGGTAAAACGGTAAGGATACAGGATATTGTGAATTTTCACAGCCAGATTGTCAGCTTGACTGCTGGTCACATCAATGGCAATCTGTAAAAACAGAATTACAGACCAAGCAGGCTATAAAGGATATGGCAAAAAACCCAAACACACACAAAATACCCCCAACAAACCAGCTTTAAGAAAAACTGGAAATAACTCTGTATTTTGACAAACCAAGCTTTCCACACAAGAATAGCACTAACTAAAGATACTATCCAGCAATCCCTTTGCTTCCATCCTCATATACTTTCCCATCGGGATATTACCTGCTAACTTCAGTGCATTCAGCTGATTTCAAGTACCTATCAGAAAACCTGAAGTTAATTATAAGCCTATGTGAGCACTCAATGGATTGCATTACAAAAAACGTATTACCCTGAAATGAGTCAGAGTACATCACACAGCAACAACTGAACAGAACTGTTCCTTTTCAGAAACTCACCAGCAGGTGGTTTGCTGCTCCGTCTCTATTGTTTGCAGGTGGAAATGGTTACATACATATGTTTACACACACACAACATGATGATTAAAGATAATGCTACCTCATGAAAACAAAGGAAGTTTTTCTAAAATCTCCGACATTGTTTCCCCTCTCACAAACTATAATCCTGCCATGCTATAAAAACAAGTATAGTAAAATACACTTCTAAGACCCATTGCATCCCAGAGAAGAAAGCTGGGTAATTTTAACTTTGTCCACAAAGAAGACAGACACTGTATTACAATTTTGCCATCCTTTAACTTTTAATTTTAAGATGACTATCTCCGCAGAGGAAACAACAGCTTATAACAATGTTTTGCTTTTGAAATGACATAAGGCAAAAGATCAGTGCGACACCTGCTTCTCTGACTTTGAATAAATCCACAACAATGACTTACATATAAACAGTCTACAAAAACACGTAACTGCCATGTCTATTCTCTAATATGTCGCTGAATAACTTACGTGCAATGGTTACAACATTTGGAATTTTAGTCCCCACGTCAGAAAATAACAGAAGGCTAAACTGACTGCTTTTTTAGCATGAGATGCAATACTTACCTCTGGGCAGGGAACAAAAACAGGATTATGCCATTCTGCAAGCAATGACTGGAGAGACTCCCCTTCAGCATCTAGGAAAGAACACATAGATAATACAGGGACTACTACCATCCGTCAAAAGAAGGTGCATTGGGTACCTCTACCTCACACAGGTACTTTTTTTTTCCCTCATCATAAAAAGGGGAGAATGTGGAAATAAATAATGGAACATGAGACTGGGCTTGTCTATTGCCTGCTTTAACTAGGAAGGTCACTGTGCATTTTTCGAAAAAAAATATGTGAGGACTGAAGCTATTTTTCACATTCCAAGGTTGGAACAAGTACAAAGAAGGGAGGAGGTAATTATTCTTTAAACTACTGACATAATCCAACAAAGAACTGGGTATTTCATCCTGTAAATAAGTATCCCCTAACCTGCCTTCAACCCTAAAAGATTTTTTTTTTCCAGTTCTAGATCTGAGATGACTCACACGGTCCCATTGTTAACAGACCTTGAGTAATTCTGGGTTCCTGTTGGGACATCTGGCAGAATTCTTTTTTTTTTTTTTTTTTTTTTTTTTTTCACACAAAACCGTTTGTCGCGGAACGCGACGCCTTCTGCCTTCAACCCTAAAAGATTTTTTTTTTCCAGTTCTAGATCTGAGATGACTCACACGGTCCCATTGTTAACAGACCTTGAGTAATTCTGGGTTCCTGTTGGGACATCTGGCAGAATTCTTTTTTTTTTTTTTTTTTTTTTTACCACAGAAAAATGTGTCCTGGAAAGCTGGCCCTACCTTTCAGATCCTGGCTTCCTAGAGTCTTTTCTTTTCGAGGTCTAGGAAGGAAGGGTAGCACAATCTCACTTCTAAAGGGATGGCACCTGAACTGAATCCCTAAACACAACATACATATATACATTTACTGCTGCAAATTCAACAGCATGCAAAATTACAAAAAGCTATACAATTATTATAGTCTCATAAATGAGCATGTGCTTAGCCCTGTACCAATTAAGAGTATCCCACAGATTTTGCAATCTAACATTGAGAAATAACATCACATATGTAAAAAACTGAGAATTATCAGACACACTTGCATCAGGAAATGTTATTATTTTAAAATATTACCATGGCTTCTGCAAGACTTCTTAAAAATTGGCTGCTGCTTTAATCACACAATAATTATTTCCAGAATTAGTGCAATCAGAAGTCTTATCCCCAAAAGAAAGAGGAAGCCTATAGTAAAGTCTGTCAGATATCACAACACTTTTGACTTCCCTCTGTTAAGGTGTGGCAAAACTGTCAGTCTATCACCACTTCTATCAGTACTTAATACAGTTATCAGGAACTTGTAAAACTGAAAACTACAAGTCAGTGAGACCATATGAGATATCAGAGTAAGCCTAACAACGTGTTCCTACCCACCCAGAAATGATTTAATGATATTACAAACCAGCACTGTTATCAAGATTATTAAGAAAAGTGGCTCAGATTTCCAGCACAGTGGTAAACATTTCACCCTTCCTTTAGTACAATTCAGACTTCTATTCTTTGCAAAATAATAATGAATTAATAAAGTTCCTTTCTACTAAGAAATTATGGGTGTGCATTCAGGAAAAGTGGCAGTGTGATAACGCCAAAGAAAACCGGCTGTGTGCTGATAAGCTCAGTATGAAAAGGCTCTATAAGATCCTTGGCCAGTCCGTAGGCTCCTGACTCTTGGTCCCATTCCAGTAAGGACCAACGATGGTCCTACACCGGGGACCGAGAATCCTTTCAAGATCCAAACTGGCAGCCCAGCATGGGAGAGTAACTCAGCATCCCCCTGTCACAAAACCCAGAACAGAGGACAAGATGGCCTGACGTGGTACCTGCTAAACTGTGACAAGTTGAAGAATGATACCTAATTCAGACTCTGACAGAACTTTTATAGCTATTATCATGGAAAGGTATTATCCCTCCGGTTCACAGAGGCATCTATCACCTATATGGACAGAAGTCCAGGATTTTATATGTAGAATCATAGACAAAGATTCATTTCCCTGCTTCTTGCTGCAGGGAAAATCCTTGTTCAGGACATAAGTTTTCCATAAAGTTAGGATTTTCTTGCCCAAAGGCCAGTGAGAATTCAGAGCTAGCAGAGATATTATTAATATGATTTTTCTGACAAGTAACATCAGAAAAGGTGCTGAGGGTAATAAGGTATCTATTTTATATATGCAAGCCACATACAATTACCACACTCCAGTATTCATTTTCACTTGCCTCAGTTAGATCATTAAAATATACTAATGACATATGAGTCAATAATGTAATAAAAAATGCAATCATAGCTGGCCTAACAATGAAAACCAAGTTGAACTGCAATGTTAACCTACTACAAATGCTTAGCATTAGGTTATTCAAAAAGGCAGTGATGGTGAAATGAAGCTTGATAAATTTTCCTGTAGCAATCAGTTTAATCAGTACAAAGATGCCTGAGTCTAAGCTACAAAATGTAGCACCTCTGTTGGGCACACAGCAGGTGACTGAAAAAGATAGCAAATGGCCACTGCAGTCATGGAAAAGAGGATAGGGATTACTCTTACCTCCTTCCCCCTGTCACCAATCAGTGTAATTTCCCTAAATTTGTGTATGAGATGCTGTTCTTAATATATCATAATTTATTATTAAATTATAAATAATAAGTCAACACCATGTGGTTACTGACACTACTCTAAAAAGCAAAATCAAAGCTTACATAGTAAACAAAGAAATTATTCCACTCCTGGGTCTTAACAGCAGTCCAAAACTGTGCTCAACATCAAGAGAATGAATGCTGTGTTTGTTAGGACACAGTTACATTTATTCCTATGGCTAAATAGAATAAATAGCCTTTGCTTCAAAAACATGTGAAAGAACATGTTTGTTGAACTTCAAAAATCTAAGATCTATAGGGTCTAGCCCCAGTTCAAACACCTTGTGAAGGTTTGGGAGGTCTGACCTCCAAACTAAGACAAGCAAAAAAGCTGCAGTAGACATCTCACCAAAGAATAGCACCACTGACAAAGTTAAGAAAGGGTGGCAGCATTGATATGACGGACAGTAAGGCCAGTGATAAGGCTAAGAAAGAACAATGCCACTGGAAGCAAAAAGATGCAACCCAATATGCGTCTTCACAGACTACAGAACTGTACGTCATCTGAAAGCGTAAGGGTACATGAGGTATTCTCTTCACAAACATGAGTGCGCTATCCAAACATTCTGGATAGAAGGTCAAGCTCCACTTGTCAGTGTTTTGGCTGGTTCCTAAACAGCACTGTGGGCAACTGAAATTGGTTAACCACAGAAATCAAAAGTGTTAGGCAAGGACTGTACATTTGTGCTTCCAAGTAGTTTTACCTAGTAAATAGAGATGTTCTCCTTGTAACAAAACTACTTCAATGGAACACAATAAATATTAAGAACTACTGGCATCAATTATTGTACTTAAAAGGGAATAGCTTGACAACTGAAACGCCTACTGTGCCAGTGTTTCTATGACTGATGATAAAGAAGTAACAGACAAAAATGGAAAAAAACAGAGGCTATCATGATTGATTAGACAGACATTTCACAGGAGAACTATCCAGAAAGAAGTCCAAACTATTTTTTCAAAACAAATAATGCAGTAGAAAATACAGTCTACATGTGGAATGACTGCATCTTTGCTCATAAAATCTGCCCATAGACAGAAGAAAGAACAATTTTGAACAAAGATATGTCTATGGAAGGGAAAATTATCAAAGACACTGTTCTGCCGACCCAGATCAGGAGACCACAAAAAGTCAAACCCAACAGATGGATCAGTCAAGACTCGTGAACACCACATCTCTGAAAAACCACTACAACGTAGTGTCCTGTCATCCCTGGAAAAGCTCCGCCATCAAACCACCAACAATGCTGTACATCATCTCCTACAAAGCTAAGTGTGAAGGAACAGCCTTCCAAAATGTGTGGAAAGGAGACTACACATTCTCAATGAAGAGTCAGATCTTTGTTCATTTTTCAAGTGTTGTTTTTAAATTTTGTATGCAGGTTGAAAAAAAAGATAATTTTAATATGGGGCTCTCAGTAACAACATATTCTTGGAAACACAACCATTTAGGACAAAATGGTAAAAGCCGCAATATTTTTCTGGTACACTTACTTTGAAGTATGTTTCTCACTTTATATACAACAACAACTATATATAACTGTGAACAACTATATGTAACTGCGATCACAGTAAATGTCATGATGGCCAGTGAAAACCAGGCAGCTGTCTGTTAATTGATAAGTTGCTGACATTTCTTTTTACCGTTTTATTTAAAATTATCTTTTAATACTTTGAATGTTGATGTTTTACTGTCTCCATAGTTGCCAACACTTTCCTGTTTTCCATACAGCTATTACGTGTAAGGCAGCGGCTGGTTCAGTACCAATGGCCAGGTGCTGCCAGCAAGGCATTGTATGCACCTAACAGAACAGAAACGGTTTTCCTCATCCCGTTTTTACAACCACCACCACCTCCCCTCTTACCATTCCCTGAAACAACATTCACAGCCTGTATATTGTCTTACCCGACGAAACATCAAAATCTTGCAGCCAGTCAGAACAACACAAATCCTTCCTAGGATTGCCCGTGCTTGTGTTGTCTGCAGAGAATTCCAAGTTGCTTAGGAAGGTCATATGGGGAACCTCAGCATCTTTCAAATTTTGTTCTGAGGATTCATCTAACGTCCTTTTATCTTTACAGATGATGTTAGTACAATCCTTTGTAGCAGGTAATGATAAAACACTGCCTGAAGAGGCTATGTACTCCCCTTCTACACTGCTAAGTGGCGATGAGCAGACAGTACTTTTCACGGACTCTGCTCTTGTACGGTCTAATTGCGAGCACGCATCCCCCTTAGAAATGCTGTAATTACATTCCCTCATTTTTTCCACTGAGGATTTATATGTTTGACAATCATTATACAAAAAATCATTATCTGAAGATTGAAGATCAAAAGAGTAGTCATCTTTTCTGCTTGAATCTGTTTGGAACTGTTCACCAAATTGTTCTACCTCTTTGCGGTCACTTTTCATTCTGGACAGTTTGGATGATAATGATCCTGGAGATCTTTTACAACTTGTATTTTTTTTACTAACCTGAGAGTAATCAGACAATGTCAATGGACTCTGACAAAGGGCTCGTTTGTCCTGTGAAGTTTCTCCACTGCAGAACAAAGTCTCTTTGAAACAACCAAATAAACGGCTACTATTACTAGAATCTGTATCTTCCACAGCTGGAGTTTCATAAGTGCTCAGGTTACCATGATTATCATTCTCATTCTTTGAAAAGTCACAATTAGCTTGTGAATTAAAAACCGGGAGACCAAATTCACTCCGCTCTGACAATGGTGTTGGCAGCATACACTTGATTCTGCCGTAGTATCTCCTGAACTTCTCTAACGAACCCAGCTGTGTGGACAAGCTCAGCTTCTTAGAGGGCCGAGACCTTGGCATGGCTATTCGTCTTCTAGTGTTTTCTGTAACTTTATGGTGAGGAACACCTGAAGAAGTTGCCAGTGGCAATTCTGTAACATTTGACATCTCATAATGTCTTTTACTGGTGGCAACAGGCATAGCTATCTCCTCACTCACCTGATTTGACAAAGTTTTGTTCTCTAACCACTCATTACCATCAGCCGTGCATACTTCTCTGGTGTAAGGAGGTGTATATTCTTTATTTATGTTACTGCAAATATCTGTAGCATTTAAAGATTGAGTCGGAAAACTCACTTTGCGGCCAAAAATATCCTTGGCACTGACAGGGCCAGGTCTACACTGCATGTTTAATTCAAGGTTTGTTTCTGTTTGTTCACGTTCATGTGGGGGCTCACTTTGCATAACACGCGTTATGAGGCCTACAGAGGACAATTGTAATGGTATTGAACTAACAGCCCCTCTTCCAGCATCGTCTAGCACTTCAGCTGTTTCCTCGTCTCCTCGTCTTGCATTACGCAGTCTTATCAGTGAACTTCCAGAGACAGTTTCAGGCCCCACTGCTACTTCAGTAGGGTCTTCTCTCTCACACAGCGACTGAATAACATTGTTACTTAAGATAGGGACCGTATTGCTTTTCTGCACTACTTTGTCTTGCTGGCTTCCCACATCTTTTATGTAACTCTCTGCACAATGCTGCAGGTCACCACAACTGTCTGTTTTTCTTATTTCTGATCTGACCCCTCCACTGATAGAGGAACAATTTCCTGAAGGTTTCAGATGAGTATCAGACACTTTTGGGGAACTGTTAGTGTATTTTGGCTCCTGCTCTGAGATGTCTGATATAATGCAGTCAGAAGCTGTGTCATCTTTGCTGGGCAGTGGAATCTCTGCTTTATTGTTCCTACATGGATCAGATGGTTCAGCAATCTTCTGATGTGGGGCAATTTCAGTTTCCTGTAGGTTTTTATCTGACTCTCTAAGACCTGAAGATTCTTTTCGAGTAACGGATTTCCTTTTGACATCTTTTGATTGCAAGCTACGCATTTCATAGGAATCCGCAATTTCATCACATGCTTTCTTAAAACTGTCTTGGATGCTCTTCTTGTCAGAGACTGAGGGCTTCAGAACTGGAGCGTTATACAGACAAAAGTCATTATCTTCATTGAATTCTCTGATGTCCTCACTACATGGTTCAATAAATAAATGTTCTCGTTTCAAAAATATTTTCACTCCTTCCTCTACGCAAGTTAGAAGAACATCCCAGTTCTGGAACTCAATTAGAGTCTTTGCAGGTTCCAGGCACACATCGTAGTCACTGTATGCACAGGTCACGTTGAGAATAAAGATCCCATACAACTCTGGGCCACAACGATGGCGACCAGGACTTGAGCTAGCCTGTCTGCTCACAGGGCCACTTTTTGCCTTGCAAATGACACTTTCTTTTCTTAATAAAAAATCGATCAGTTTATGTAGCCTTGTCTTTAAAACAAGCCTTCTATTCACATACAAGAACTGCATATTCTTGTTGTAATGTCCTTCAGTACTGATATAACCACTTATCTCAAATCCCCCAGACTTATGATTGATTTCTTGTAACTTCTGGGATCTGCCCAGTCCATAAATTTGACAAAACCGAGAGCATACATCTCTTGTCTTACGGAGCTGAAGCACCATAGAACAAGAAGCGTCGTTCCTTAAAGAAAATGAAATAGAGGGATGCATCAACGAAACAGCCTCCACTTTCTGTCTCACTCTCTCCAATTCCAGTGCAGGATCCATACACTTTCTCCTCACCGGTAACTGGTAGAATAGGTTACACACGGTCACTGTAGTTCCGCCACTTTGTCTGCTCAATTCAGCTTCGCAGACTTCCAGCGCTTGCCCATTGTGAAATATCTTCACAAATGTTTTTCCTGTCCTGCTGGTCTTAGATGAAACTTCCACTACGCTGGCCATGTTGGCTATGCTTGCCACAGCCTCCCCTCTAAAGCCGTAGAACATCAGGTTCTCCAAGTCTCCCACTGAGCTGCACTTGCTGGTGAAGTAGCGCTTTCCCATCGCATTTAAGTCCTCTCTCCCCATCCCCGAGCCGTTGTCCACCACTTGGATCTTAAAAGCTTCCAAATCCACCCTGATAGCTACACACGTTGCTTTGGCATCGATGCTATTGAGGACAAGCTCCTCAACACACTGCCCCAGCGAGTTGATAGTCACTCCAGAACGCAGCCTGGCTCGCACATCTTCCACCAAACGTTTGATCATGTCAAAATCAGATAGATGGGAAACTCAAGAAACTGCAGGGAACTCACTCCTCCATGTTCCTTAGAACAACTCCCTGGGTGGAGAGGGGTAAAAAAAAAAGGAAGGAAGAAAAGAAATACAAATTAAAGGCCTGAAAAAACTTTCATTTATTGCATTCACCCTCATAAATACACTTTTGTTAGTTTTCCTGGTATTCAGAGGCTTTTTCTGTGATTGCTTTCCTGCTCAGGCTTTGACTACACATCGTTGGTGCCTTCAGGGTAAGTGGCCAGAATCTGAGTCTACGCTCCTTACTCACAGCATAGGTGTTCTCAGACTCAGCATACCCAAACCAAACTCCAACCACCCTGAGGCAAAACTCAAAGGACCTGCAAACAAAACGGCTTCTGCTCCCATCTGTATCAAAAATAGAGAGTAGGTGTCCCCAGGAACCGGGCAGAGAGCTGCTCTCCTCTCGTTTCCAGCTCAGTCTCCTCACGTGCATTCACACTGCCTCACGTTCTGGCCGCAGAGCACCGGCTGCAGTTCGCCTCAGGAATGAACAAAGCGGGCTCGGGAACGGCTGCGGGATACCGAGTAAACTCTCGCGTGGAAGAGAACCCCCTACTCTCCAGTCCCGTCCTTGACGGCTACCGGTTTCTCTCTGGTACTGGAAGGGGACACCCCTGCAGGCCGCGCGGCGCTCCCCGCGCAGCTCCC